CCTCATCCCGCCCCCTTGACCTGTCCGTCCTCCCTGGACTGACCTATCCCCTCCCTAACTCCCCACCGACACTCACCTTTACTGGCTCCATCCCCGCCTCTTTGACCCATCTGTCTCCTTTATCCATCTTCTGTCTGCCTCCCCCTCGCTCCCTGTTTATTTCAGAATCCCCTTCCCCTCCCCCATTTCTGAAGAAGGGTCTAGGCCCAAAACGTCAGCTTTCCTGCTCCTCTGATGCTGCTTGGCCTGCTGTGTTCATCCAGCTCTACACCTTGTTAGTTCAGATAACCATTTTCACTGGTTTTAATTGAGGGATAATACTGGCCATGGCATCGGGCAGAACTCCTCTGATCACTTGCAAAATACTGCAATGGGACTCCTAACACGTACCAGTTAGGAAACTTGGGTGCAGTGACTGAGCACGTGAAAAAGTTAAAAAACCGAACTCAACAATAATTCTGGAGGAAAACAGCAGGGCCAGGCAGCATCAGAGGAGCAGGAAAGTTGACGGTTCGGGTTGGGACCCTTCTTCAGAAAACTCAAGCTTTCAGATCCTCAGTCGTTCTTCAGGTATCAGTGTTAGACTAACACTTGGAGGACCAAGGTGCAAGTTTGTGTTTTCTAATAACCCTGTTGGACTATAACCTGGTGTTGTGTGATTTCAACAATAATTCAGGACATCTCTCCTGGGTGGGCAGAGACCAGTAAATGAAGTAGCAGAGAGAAAAGGCCCTTCTACTTTCAAAAGTTTTGAGTGCAGCCTTTTACAAAATCCTCAGTGTTGATTTCAAATGCTGATCCTCACAAGGGCAAGTGTATATGGAGTATGTCACGGGTATCTAAGAGAGCTCAATGCTAACAGAGTGCAGAATGGAAACCTTTCACTTCCCTCGGGAATGAAGGCCCTCATTTGATGAGCTCAAAACAACAGTGCAGCTTTACCAACAAGAACAGGAAAAAACAAACGTCTAGTTGGCAGAGATTGTTTTGCATTGATCCTCCTTCCTCTATTCAAGGGGCTGAATCTTGCCAGGATATGGTTACAAAGACTTGACCAGACCTCCAGTATTTCGCTCCAGTGACTATCCTAAAAATTACAGCCTGGGTCATCAACAGAAGAGGGACACTACGGTTACCCACAAAATGATCTCTACAATTTGCTGACTGCACACAGCTCTGGTCACTGTATTTTAATAAAGGATTTATACACACTGAAGAAAGTGCTACAGAGGTTCACAAGGATTATACTAGAACCGAAAGTCCTCATCAATGAACAGGTAGAAGCTATTTTCTCAAGAAAAACAAAAACAGGATTGAGTGATAGGGTCTTTGATAGGGTGGATGTTGCCAATTATAGGTGAGGCTAGACTAGGGGGCCCCATCAACATAAGACAGTTATTAATTTCAGTTGTGAAATCAGAAATTTAGTCACCTGAAAAGTGGGGAGAATGTGGAACTTGCTCCCATGAGGAGCATGTGAGGTGAACAGCATTATTGTGTTTAAAGGGAAAGTTAGATAAAACATGAGCAAGAGGCGAGAGAAGACTTGTGTGGAGAAGCATTATCGTGGAACTTTTGGGCTGAATAATCTGTTTCTATGGTGCAAATTCTCAATCCTGTTCTTCTGCACTGAGCTAGAACAATACACACTAAGACGAACACAACCATCAGTCTCATTTTGCTGAACACTGCCAGTTTCTCTCCATTTCTCCACTGCATCAAACATAACACACTTGGTTTCAGTCACAACTTGCCCTGTCCTACCGCCAAGCTAATGTAGCTGAACTCAGTCTTACTGTCCGTGGGCAGGAACTATCACAGATGCAAAAATCATTCATAGCCACAGTATAGCCTTGCCCCAGAGGCTTCTCATATTAGTCCAATCCTTTGTTCTGTGACTATCACCCCCAACAGCCCTAGTTCTAGAATCTCCATTCCTGTGACACAAGAGTGGTCTTCTGAGATATTAAACTGGCAGCTCATTCAGGTCTCAGTTTGAGGCTGCGGAAGTTTAGAACACATGACTACGGCCAATATCTTTGGACTCTTGTGGGGCCTTCTTGCTTCCCTCAGCCTTGGGTGGGAAATGGTGAAGATTCAAGATGCTGAAGGAATATTGCTCAGTAGCAGGAACCAGCAGATGGGGAGTACGAAGGCTTCCAAATTATTTTCCTTTCACCCCTTCTATCTATCTGCAGATAGATTATGAATGCAACTGTATCCAAATCCTGGGAAGGCTTTTTTTTTTTTTTTAAAAACACCATGTTGTCGAGGCAGACTGCAGCTCCCTCTTCCCTGCCTCTCCATCAGCATTGGATGAGGTCAGTGGAATTAGCATAGGCCCAGATTGGAATTGGAAATGTTGCTGAGGCCTGCCTGACTTCACTGGGCTGTGAAGGAGCAATGGCAGCGTTTATTTATAGAACACACCACCGAAGGCAATCCTTCCTTTTACAGAACTCAGACTTTCACCAACACAAGGCACGGAAGAAACACAATCTTTCGCAAGCACAACTGCCGTGAGAACCACTGCTGAATAGGAGAAGGTCAACATTCTCACTCAGCTGTGGCAACAGCCACAGCTGCTCAATGCTTGGCTGTCACTCTGCCTGATCAGAATGACACTACAGATTTAAGTAGGGGGGTGGGGGTTGGGGGGTGGTCATTCAGACCTTCATGCCTGCTCTGCCAATGAGATCACAGCTGACTTTTGCCCTCAGCTCCACTTTCCCCACCCATTTCCCATATTAGTCAATTCCCTCAGTGTCCAAAAATCTCTCAATCTCAGTCCCGAATGTATTCAAGAACTGAGCGAGCACAGTTTTCTTAGGGGGGGGGGCGGGGGGGTGCAGGTTTTGGGAGGGGAGTGCGGATCATGAGAGATCCCCAACCCTTCAAGTGAAGACATGACTTCTTATATTAGTCCAGCCATTCATTCTGTGACTGACATGCCCAATAGCCCTAGTTCTAGACTCCATTTCTCCGAGTTGGGGGGAGATCTGTCAAAAACGCGAACAATTTTATACACTTCAATTGAGATCCCCTCTAATCTCTAGAGAGCATACGATAATTCTACGCAGTCTCTCTTCAGACAGCAACAATTCCAGCCCAAGGATCACTGTGACAAACATCTGTTGCCACCACCTTCAGTGGAAAGGTAAAGGAGAAAAATGCAAGACAAAGGATAAAGGATTTTCTTTCCAATCGGGAAATCAATGATACTCGAGTTCAAATTCGGTCTAGATTGAAGGTCACAACTTTTCAAGTACAGTGCAGGAGGAAAGAATGAGCATTCTTAAGCCAGACATTAAATCTGGTGCAACCCGAGAGAATTAAACCACGTTACTTCATTCCATCCTTCCTTTAATTCCACACCATCCAGGTAACATAGGGGGAGCTCCATACTGTACCTAACCAGTGTTGTACTCCTTCTGGGAGCACTCAGTGCTGACAAGTGGGTGACAGACCATCAGGACATTGTTAGACAGAACTCTACACTGTATCTAATCCCATGTTGTACTTGTCCTGAGCATGCTTGATGCTGACATTGCAGGAATGACTAGAGTCCTCATCACCTTAAGGACAATCTGTGCCCCTAGTCACAACGCTCAAATTTCTTATCAAAACAGTAAACTTCAACCAACCGTTTATCTGCATGCAAATGACAATTCTTCAAACAAGCTGTTAAAAACTCAACACGATGCCATGATGACCGATAGCAGGCAGAATATTCCCACAATCCAAGAGGACTTTGAAAAGAACCAAATCAGGATGAAGCAATATGGACAGGGAAAACAAAAATCAAATTTCAAAATCTTCCTTTCCTTGTTGCACATCCTCCTGACTGTAGCATGCCCGCAACTGCCTGTAATCTCTGCCCCCACATCTCCTCTCACCTCCGTCTAAGGCCCAAAATAATCCTTGCAGATTCACCTACACCTCATCCAACTTTATCTACTGCATTCGTTGCTCCCAATGCGGTCTCCTCTATATTGGGGAGACCAAATGCAGACTCGGGACCAGTTTTGTGGAGCATCTGCACTCTGCAAATAACAACCAACCCGATCTTCTGGTTGCCATTCATTTTAATTCCCCTTCCCATTTCCCTGACAACATGTCCATCCTTGACATTCTCCACTGCCAGAGTGAGGCTAAACGTAAACTGGAAGAACACCCGATATTGTGCCTTGGAAGCTTACAGCCCAATGGCTTTAACATTGACTACATCAGCTTCAAAATCTCTCCACCCCCAGCCTCATTCCATGTCCAGCCCTCCCCCTCCTGACCTGATCGAACCTGTCCATCTTCCCACTCACTTGCCTGCTCCACCCTTCCCACAGGGAATCACAATAACCCCCTACCTACATCCACCTATCATCATCTCTCCCACCCCGCCTCGCCCCCCCCCCCCGCCCCCCCAAGCTCTCTCCCTCTGTTTATTTCTGCGCTCCTCACCCCCTCCCCAGTCCTGACACAGGGTTTCAGCCTGAAACTTTGACTTACCTGCCCCTCGGATGCTGTCTGACCTGCTGGGCTTTTCCAGCCTCTCACTTATAGTCTCTCTTTTATTTAGCTGGTTTTGTCATTCAGGACATCCCCATGGCATCGCATTGCCAAAGTACTCTGAGCATCACATTGGAAACCAAGTTTCACACAGCAAGCTCCTACACCAGGTCATCCGAATCTTGACTCCACACCCTCCCAAGTGGGCACTCAGCCACAACTCTTTTGGCTGGATCAGATTTATCAACATTGTGTTTTTTGGGTCAGTGGAGGAGTGTGGCTGATACCTTTATAAACAACCTGCGCACCCACACAGCAAGACTAACAAATACTTACGGAAAAACGAAGAACAGGGAGGTGGATCCCACAAGAAAAGTGGCAGCTGCCGACACCGGGATGTACTTGCTGGGTTTGAATTTCCTCTCCGTTCCCAATGGCATGTTGCTCGGTCAGCAGCCCTGCTCAGCAGCATAGCCCAGGGTAACTGTTGTGGTGGGTTAAGGGGGGGACAGGGGAAGACAATGGTGGTGGGATGGGATGAATCACTGACTGAGATCCTGATGTGTCTGGTCCAGCATTGGAGGAAGGTAGAGAAATGGTAGCAAGAGACTGTCAAAACTGGAGGACTGAGTAAAGGACAAGGCGGATGAAGAATGGAGGAAAACACTAAGGATGGATACAGAGCACGCTGAGATAGGCAAATCTTGATTACACACCTGAAGATGGGGTGCAGATTTAATGTTCTTTTGACAGGGGTGGATGATGGTGTGCTCTTTTAAAAAGCAAACGTACGGACCTGAAACCCTAAACAAAGCTAGGGCACCAGGAAATCTATATGGGAACTGCTCCAAAATGGGGTCAGTTGCTGAAACTACATGGAGGAGCTTGTTCAAGATAAGACAGTCAAAACTCTACACCTCACACCAGGATCAACCAACCGATAACATCTAGCGGAAAACAGAGTTGCAGGCAAGATTCAATCTGGGTCTGGAAGTGAGAAAGTGAGCTAACTTGTTAGGAAATGGTTTATGGAATAAATGGCAATTTATTTTTCTATCCAATGTAGCTTTCTGTTGGCGTTGGGGAAGAAGAACCAAGGATTTCTTCCTAGATGGGCATCAACAGGAAAACTGGGACCTTTTTGGACAATGAAACTCTAGTGTAAACTCCAATTCTTATCAGCAGCTTAGGTTGACCTTCAAGGTTACAGGAGGGTAGGGGTGTAGAGGGGAGAAGAAATCAGACATTGGAGCCTGGTACTAAAGTGGACGGAGCTCAGATAAAGCAAGCTGATAATTAAACAGATTGTTGGGGTGAAAGAGGGTGGAAATCAAGGCAGAAATCTAGGATCAGGCAGTGCTCTAAGGTATGAGACGGAGTGGGGGAGGAAATGTGAGGGGCTATGCCAGCAAGGTTTTAAATCCAATTGCCAAAGCAACAGAAAAATCTTTTCAGCTCTTTCCCACTGCTGCTTTACAAATCTTTGCCACTGTATCTGATTTCCCCCACTCCGTCTCCTTCCGATTTCAGACTCTCAAGGCAGTGTTACGTGGGATTCAATTCTTGACCGTAAAATGGCGAGAGTATCTCTTTGCACGCACAGAATAGATATACCAACTTGGGAGTAGGGGGACGCTTTTTGGTGGTAGGGTGGTGCAGGAGATTATAAAAGACAGTAAAAAAAAAAATCAGCAAGTGCACAATCAACTCTCTCCTTTTAATTTTCTTCCCTGGTCTTTTCTTCAAATATGCAGAGGCCAGATCCTAAAGAAATAAATCCAGTGGGGGCAAACACCAAACAAACCAGCTCAAGATCCAGTGATCACCCCCCGACACCCAATTTGTCGGAAACGACAGGCAAAACTGTTGATGCTGGTGACAGTTGAGGGAAGGGACCAGTGATAACGCTCTGAATTCTTCCACTTCAACCAAACGTTCCCACTTGATCTCAAGTTCACACATACAAGTAAATTCCAATCCAATTCGAAGAGTTCCTTCTGTCTGCCTCTCTCTTCTTGAGGGCAATTCCTAGAGAGAAAAATTGAATCCAAAAATTGCTTCCTAAACAGCCAAGGAGAGTTTTTAAATCACTTATAAAACCAATAACCAGAGCAAGGAAGCTTAAAAAGAAAATGAGGAAGAGGTGGAAACACTTTTTGGCCGACAGTCAAACTTAAATTCCAGTTGCAGTGCAAGATATTAACCGTCTGTCTTTTAAATCAGCAGACACACTCTTCGGCAGGGAGAATCGTCAAATTCCATCCATCCTTCTGGTGAGGCCATTTAGTCCTGGAGAGGTCAACTTGCTCCCCTCCTTTCTCTTCTCTTTGCTGAGGGTTTAAGAGAAATAAGATAATATTTATTCTCTGCATTTAAATCTAAAGGAAATGTCAAAAAACACAAACCTGTACCCCTTAAATTTTTCTCTTCAGGATGCTTTTAAATGAAAATGGAAATTTGTAACTGTATTCTTTTCGTAATCCCAATGGATTAAGTTAAAATAATCTAATCTTATTTTCTATTCTCATTAAGTCTCCTTTTTCCTCTCGATGTTTTTGATTGAATAAATCTGAAAAACTATATCTCCACAGCTTAAAAGTTAAAAAAAATGATTAAAGACTTGCTTTGAGAAACATCCAGATCTTCTGTCTGCCTAATAATGTACAGAGAAAAAAGATTAACGAATGACAACTGCTGAAAGAGAATTTTCCACATTTTTGTTTTTAAAAAAATGTGATAAATCCAGTCTTTCCTTTTCCCTGTGAAGATTCCTTGGTCATTTTGTTTCCTCCTTCCCACATCCCACAACTTTGATGAGATGAATAGCTCTGCCTCTTCTTTTTTTAAGAGCAGAAAACAAAAGCAAAAAAGAAGCATCCATTTCCTTTCTGCTCTCCCAGGGGTTGAATTCTCCACAATTCTTCCCAAGAAATACTCAAAGAGAAACGGACAGACTTCTTGTTTTTACACTGTTGGGGAAGGAAGAAATGAATCCTTCCCGTCTGAAAGTGAGAGTTATTTTTCCTGGGAACAGTAGGCCTCAGAGGAAGCCTGGGCCTCACTTGCCGAGACAGCCTCTTCCTCTCCTTCCCAACCCAATGGCTGTTTCCCCCCTCCAAACCTATTTTCTAAATTAACACAGGGGTGTAAATATCATGGCATGGCAGGGCAGGGCAGGGCAGGGACCAGAAAAAGGAGAGACCTGGACAGAGAAGGAGTGGATTTTGTACATCCAAGGTTGGGGTGGGGGGGGGGGAATTGGAGAGGAAGGGGGGAAAAAATGGGGGGGGGGGGGGAAAAAGGGAAAATATGAAGATGGTGGGGAAAAATCTAAGGGAGGAAGAAAAAAAAATGAGATGGGGAGAAAAGTCGAGGTAAGGAAAATGACGAGTAGATAGAAACTGAGGGCAGTGGCGAAAAAACTTGGGAGGGGCAAGTTGAGGGCAGGAGGAAAAATTTTGAAGTTAAAAAATGAGGTGGGGGCACAAACTGGGAGGGAGGGACAGACAGAGTGGGGGGCACAAATCGGGAGGGAGGGGGAGGGAGAGGGCACAAAGCAAGAGGGTGGAAGGGGGCGCGAATCAAGAGATGGAGGTAAGGGGGGCGCGAATCAAGAGGGGGAGACACAAACC